AACCTCCCAGAGGGCGAGAGGCCATAATAACCTCCCAGAGGGCGAGAGGCCATAATAACCTCCCAGAGGGCGAGAGGCCATAATAACCTCCCAGAGGGCGAGAGGCCATAATAACCTCCCAGAGGGCGAGAGGCCATAATAACCTCCCAGAGGGTGAGAGGCCATAATAACCTCCCAGAGGGCGAGAGGCCATAATAACCTCCCAGAGGGTGAGAGGCCATAATAACCTCCCAGAGGGTGAGAGGCCATAATAACGTCCAAGAGGGCGAGAGACCATAATAACCTCCCAATGGGCGAGAGGCCATAATAACCTCCCAGAGGGTGAGAGGCCATAATAACCTCCCAGAGGGCGAGAGGCCATAATAACCTCCCAGAGGGTGAGAGGCCATAATAACGTCCAAGAGGGTGAGAGGCCATAATAACGTCCAAGAGGGTGAGAGGCCATAATAACGTCCAAGAGGGCGAGAGGCCATAATAACCTCCCAGAGGGTGAGAGGCCATAATAACCTCCCAGAGGGCGAGAGGCCATAATAACGTCCAAGAGGGCGAGAGGCCATAATAACCTCCCAGAGGGCGAGAGGCCATAATAACGTCCAAGAGGGCGAGAGGCCATAATAACCTCCCAGAGGGCGAGAGGCCATAATAACCTCCCAGAGGGCGAGAGGCCATAATAACCTCCCAGAGGGCGAGAGGCCATAATAACCTCCCAGAGGGCGAGAGGCCATAATAACCTCCCAGAGGGCGAGAGGCCATTATAACCTCCCAGAGGGCGAGAGGCCATTATAACCTCCCAGAGGGCGAGAGGCCATAATAACCTCCCAGAGGGCGAGAGGCCATAATAACCTCCCAGAGGGCGAGAGGCCATAATAACCTCCCAGAGGGTGAGAGGCCATTATAACCTCCCAGAGGGCGAGAGGCCATTATAACCTCCCAGAGGGCGAGAGGCCATAATAACCTCCCAGAGGGCGAGAGGCCATAATAACCTCCCAGAGGGCGAGAGGCCATAATAACCTCCCAGAGGGCGAGAGGCCATAATAACCTCCCAGAGGGTGAGAGGCCATAATAACCTCCCAGAGGGTGAGAGGCCATAATAACCTCCCAGAGGGCGAGAGGCCATAATAACCTCCCAGAGGGCGAGAGGCCATGACCTCAACACCAAGGCCAGATTTACAGTCCTCCAGTAAACGAATTAATTAATTTCGAATTAGTTCTGGACTTAATGATTCCATACGCAAGCCTGCGTCACACTTCAACACTCAAGTCAGCTCTAGCACAGTCATCTTTGACGCAGTGTGCCAGACAAGCCAGGTGTCTGGAGACGTCTGGTGTCAGACAAGCCAGGTGTCTGGAGACGTCTGGTGTCAGACAAGCCAGGTGTCTGGAGACGTCTGGTGCCAGACAAGCCAGGTGTCTGGAGACGTCTGGTGTCAGACAAGCCAGGTGTCTGGAGACGTCTGGTGTCAGACAAGCCAGGTGTCTGGAGACGTCTGGTGCCAGACAAGCCAGGTGTCTGGAGACGTCTGGTGTCAGACAAGCCAGGTGTCTGGAGACGTCTGGTGCCAGACAAGCCAGGTGTCTGGAGACGTCTGGTGCCAGACAAGCCAGGTGTCTGGAGACGTCTGGTGTCAGACAAGAGACCGCCAGTTGTCAGAAAATAACGCCAGGTGTCAGACTGAGACGTTGCAACCCGTTCTCGCACTTTCTTACAGTCAATATTGACTTATTAAATACGTGCATATGTGACATACTAAACCTACTAGTTTACCTTGAAAAGCTTCATAGAAAACACCGACCTTACCTCACCTTCTTAGTATGTTAAGATAAGCATCTTATTGCTTCGTAATTACAATTATTACTTAACCTATTATAGATATAGGTTAAGTAATAATTGTAATTACGAAGCATTTCCATTTCCTAATTACAAAACCTATTATAGGTATAGGTTAAGTAATAATTGTAATTACGAAGCAATAAGATGCTTATCTTAACATACTAAGAAGGTTAGGTAAGGACAATTTTCTATGAAGCTTTTCAAGGTAAACTAGTATGTCACATATGCACGTATTTAATAAGTCAATATTGACTGTAAGAAAGTGCGAGAACCTGTTGCCTTAGTTGATGCTAATAATTATTAACTGGGAATTGCGCGGACAATACTTCTATTACACATTATTTATACAAATAAATATATTTATAATAAAATAGTAAAATCTCATAATGATAATACATTTAATAAGATAATATTTATGATAACAGGATATCCCAACAGGATAGGACGGTGGGATATATGTATGTATATATATATATATATATATATATATATATATATATATATATATATATACCCATGTATATCTTGTAACCATCAAATGCATAATAAAGCACAAAAAATATTCAAGGAAGGGGGTGGTAGGAGAAAAGCACACAGAAACTGTATTGGAGGGGATCTAAACATTCCCTCTAATGCGTTATGCGTGGTTTCCTCCGAGGCTATGGGTCCCCCTTCTTCCAGCTAGAGGTGGTACTCCCTTCCTATTGTATATATATATATATATATATATATATATATATATATATATAATATTCATATAATATACATATAATATATATATATATATATATATAATATACATATAATATACATATATATATATATATATATATATATATATATATATATATATATATATATATATATATATATATATATATATATATATATATATGTCGTACCTAGTAGCCAGAACTCACTTTTGGCCTACTATTCAAGGCCCGATTTGCCTAATAAGCCAAGTTTTCCTGAATTAATTAATTTTTTCTATTTTTTTTCTTATGAAATGATAAAGCTACCCATTTCATTATGTATGAGGTCAATTTTTTTTATTGGAGTTAAAATTAACGTAGATATATGACCAAACCTAACCAACCCTACCTAACCTAACCTAACCTATCTTTATAGGTTAGGTTTGGTTAGGTAGCCGAAAAAGTTAGGTTAGGTTAGGTTAGGTAGGTTAGGTAGTCGAAAAACAATTAATTCATGAAAACTTGGCTTATTAGGCAAATTGGGCCTTGAATAGTAGGCCAAAAAGTGAGTTCTGGCTACTAGGTACGACATATATATATATATATATATATATATATATATATATATATATATATATATATATATATATATATGTCGTACCTAATAGCCAGAACGCACTTCTATGCCTACTATTCAAGGCCCGATTTGCCTAATAAGCCAAGTTTTCATGAATTAATTGTTTTTCGACTACCTAACCTACCTAACCTAACCTAACCTACCTTTTTCGGCTACCTAACCTAACCTTACCTATAAAGATAGGTTAGGTTAGGTTAGGTAGGGTTGGTTAGGTTCGGTCATATATCTACGTTATTTTTAACTCCAATAAAAAAAATTGACCTCATACATAATGAAATGGGTAGCTTTATCATTTCATAAGAAAAAAATTAGAGAAAATATATTAATTCATGAAAACTTGGCTTATTAGGCAAATCGGGCCTTGAATAGTAGGCATAGAAGTGCGTTCTGGCTATTAGGTACGACATATATATATATATATATATATATATATATATATATATATATATATATATATATATGTCGTACCTAATAGCCAGAACGCACTTCTCAGCCTACTATTCAAGGCACGATTTGCCTAATAAGCCAAGTTTTCATGAATTAATGTTTTTTCGTCTACCTAACCAACCTAACCTAACCTAACCTAGCTTTTTTTGGCTACCTAACCTAACCTTACCTATAAATATAGGTTAGTATATATATATATATATATATATATATATATATATATATATATATATATATATATATATATATATATATATATATATATATATATATATATATATATATATATATATATATATATATATATATATATATATATATATATATATATATATATATATATATATATAGCGTGATGTTGACGGCGGGATATATATGGCAGGATGTTGACAGCGGGATATATATGGTGGGATGTTGACGGCGGGATATATATGGCGGGATGCGGGATGTTGACGGCGGGATATATATGGCGGGATGTTGACGGCGGGATATATATGGCGGGATGTTGACGGCGGGATATATATGGCGGGATGTTGACGGCGGGATATATATGGCGGGATGTTGACGGCGGGATATATATGGCGGGATGTTGACGGCGGGATATATATGGCGGGATGTTGACGGCGGGATATATATGGCAGGATGTTGATGGCGGGATATATATGGCGGGATGTTGACGGCGGGATATATATGGCGGGATGTTGACGGCGGGATATATATGGCGGGATGTTGACGGCGGGATATATATGGCGGGATGTTGATGGCGGAATATTTATGGCGGGATGTTGCCGGCGGGATATATATGGTAGGATATTGACGGCGGGATATATATGGCGGGATGTTAGGACCTGTTAGGGCGCCTAACAGGTGAGTTGACAGCGCTTTGGATTCGTAGTCCTGAGGTTTCAGGTTCGATGCCCGGTAGAGGCGGAGACAAATGGGTAAAAGGTTTCTTTCACCCTGATGCCCCTGTTACCTAGCAATAAATAGGTGCCCGGAAGTTAGACAGCTGCTACGGGCTGCTTCCTGGGGGTGTGTAACTAAAAGGAGGCCTGGTCGAGGACCGGGCCGCGAGGACGCTAAGCCCCGAAATCATCTCGAGATAACCTCAAGATGTTGACGGTGGCAACATCCCGCCGTCAACGAGATGTGGGCGGAGTGTGGGATGTTGACGAGGTGTGGGCGGCGGTGTGTGGATGTTGGGGTATGGGTGGCGGAATGTGGGTGGCTGGGTGTGGGCGGCGAACTGTGGGTGGTTGATTGTGGGCGGCGGCGTGAGGGTGTTGGTGGAGGGGTGTGGGCGGAGAGGTGTGGGCGGCGTGGTGTGGGCGATATGATTAATTAATGGCCTGAGAGTGTAAATATTGTGAACTGAAAATAAATACTATCTTACCTTCCATCTCCTTCATGGGCGTGGTGGTGTAGTGGGCGGCCCAGTCGTAGCAGTAGTCGGAAGAGCGGGTTACAAGCCCACCGTGGGTCGGCCCGCCCACCTGGCCCACCCCGGACATCATGGCCACGTCCGGTACTCTGTCCTGGCCATATGTGTTGACCACACCGCCAGGGTAACACTGTGCTTCCATAATGCCACACTAACTAGCCACCGTGGGCAACGACGGCCGCTGTGGGCGTGGGGCTGTGGGCCGCTGTGGGCCGCTGTGGGCCGCTTTGAGCCGCTGTGGGCCGCTTTGGGCCGCTTTGAGCCGCTGTGGGCCGCTGTGGGCCGCTTTGGGCCGCTTTGAGCCGCTGTGGGCCGCTTTGGGCCGCTGTGGGCCACAACCACCACTACCAATTTGTTGCCGACAGACACGAACACCGTCCACGTGCTTGAGGTGAAAACAAATATTGAGTGGGGATGATGTAGTGAGGGAAGAGTGTGAGGGGCCGAGTGAGGGACCGGTGGTGACAGCGAGACCTCGTCACCCCGCGCGTTCCACTAGCTGAGGATTGACTGTTCACTCCCCTCACCCACTGCCTCCCAGGACCTGCCAGCTCCCCTCGCTCCCATACACCCACCCAGACGGCAACAGTTGTATTTTCACCTTGTGACAATATTGACTCCGCCTCAGATCCTCTTTCAGTCCTGCTTAAATTGTCAATACTTCTTCTGATTAACTTTTTTTCCTGGCAATATTGTATAAAACAAATACTATGATGTATATACAGATGTCAATCTTCAGTAATCCCGCCGACATTGGCTTCCGAATTAAGGCGCTCTATTTTTTTGCCCTCTGATTGGTGGTCCCCTCAGCACCTTTCTGGTAGCTCGACCTCCCATTGGTGCACGGGGGAGAAATGGGCGGAGCTACGGCAAGACAGTAAACCAAGGGGCGGAGCTTTGGTGCTTGGCTCCGCCCAGCGTGATGATGGGCTGCCCAGCCAGCTTCTCAACACCATCACACACTCCTCACAATTTCCTATGAAATACGACCAGTGTCACCCAATATGAATCATTTTCCGATTCACACGTCTATTTCAAAGCTATTAAAGCCCCCCCATAGGCGTCTAAATTCCATATTCTTGTCTTAGAGGTTATACACAAAAATAGCAGCGAAGGAATTTACTACAGCGATGGATTACACAGACCGTATTATAATCACTTTGAGCTATCTTAAAGATACTTGAGCGATAGTTAGTGGAGGTAGGTGAAGGCGTCAATTAGAGTGGGCAGTCATCAGGCTACTGATCACGCCGTCACCACCGCCAATTAACGAAGCGCTCAACAACTGGATTTTCTCCCTCTTCCTCGTTTATTTGGAGAGCAATTATTAATCTACAGGTCCTTCGCCTCGTTAAACACAGAGGAAGTATCGTTGACAACAGCTGTGGTCTCACTTGGTGGGTGAGGCAGCTTGGCGCCTTCTTGGAGGACAGGGAGCAGTTGCGCGTTGTTGGAGAAGAGTGGCGACGGCTCGGTTTTAGCCTTCAACGAACAACTCTTTCATACATTTGTACACATACATTTGTACACATACGATACACGTTATTACGGAAGTATATGTATTATTAAACACATGTTACTTCGCACGACGAGCCTGGAGACATGATCACAATATACTTAAATGTGAAAATTGTAGTGTTTAACATGAGAGGACCAGAGAGATGGGACACACATGGGGGGACCAGAGAGATGGGACACACATGGGAGGACCAGAGAGATGGGACACACATGGGGGGACCAGAGAGATGGGACACACATGGGGGACCAGAGAGATGGGACACACATGGGGGACCAGAGAGATGGGACACACATGGGAGGACCAGAGAGATGGGACACATGAAAGGACCAGAGAGATGGGACAGAGGGACACAGAGAGAAAGCCTTTGACACAGTACCTCACAAAAGGCTGTTACAAAAGTTGGTTCAACAGGCAGGAGTAAAAGGTAAGGTGCTCCAGTGGATAAGGGAGTATCTAAGCAACAGGAAACAGCGAGTAACTGTGAAGGGGAAGACATCAGAGTGACGAGATGTCACCAGCGGGGTTCCACCGAGCTCTGTACTTGGACCCATCCTGTTTCTAATATATGTAAACGACCTATGTAAAATAATGTAAACGACCAATGTAAAACGATATATGTAAAATAGATGAAGATAGACAGAGACTACAGAACGACCTGGACAAACTGGTGGATTGGTCTAGAAAATGGCTACTAAAGTTCAACTCAGGAATGTGTAAAGTAATGAAATTAGGTGAAGGGAACATAAGCTTGAACACAACGAACTATCTGGGAGGTGATATCCTGCAAGAGTCTAACAGAGAGAAAGATCTGGGGGGTTGATATCACACTGAACCTGTCCCAAGAAGCCCACATCAAAAAGAATATCATCAGCGGCATATGCTAGACTGGCCAACATAAGAACTGCGTTCAGAAACTTGAGTAAGGAATCGTTCAGGATCTTGTATACCACTTATGTAAGACCAATCCTGGAATATGCAGCTTCAGTTGGAGTCCATACCTAGTTAAACTCAAGACAAAGTTAGAGAAGATTCATAGATATGCCACCAGACTAGTCCCGGAACTGAGAAGTATGAGCTACGAGGAAAGGCTAAGGGAGCTGAACCTCACATCCCTGAAAAAGAGAAGGGTAACGGGAGACATGATAACCACCTACAAAATTCTCAAGGGAATTGACTGGGTGGACAAATCGAAACTCTTTAGCATGGGTGAAACATGAACAAGGGAATACAGGTAAAAAATTATTACCAAGATGAGCCACTGAGACATTAGAAAGAATTTTTCCAGTATCAAAGTAGTTAACAAATGGATTGCATTAAGTAGTGATATGGTGGAGGCTGACTCCATACACAGTTTCAAGTGTAGATATGATAGAGCCCAGTAGGCTCAGGAATCTGTACACCAGTTGACTGACAGTGGAGAGGCGGGACCAAAGAGCCAGAGCTCAACCCCCGCAAGCACAACTAGGTAAATACACGCATGGAACATGGAACTTAACTTGTGTCCTGGTGTCCCAGTCTTTGACTATCTGATGGAACTTAAGATTGTGACCATGGGACAAGAGATCTGAGAAAGGAAGTTGACTACAGGAAAGGGTACTATAGGAGGATAAGGGAGTATCTGGTAGAAGAGAAGTGGGATGAAGAAATTAATGGGAAAAATAGTTCAAGATATGATGGACCTAGTTACATGGAAATGCAAGGAGGCCGAAGAGAAATTTATACCAACAGTACAGGAAAAAAGTAGGAGGGAATATAGTAACCCATGGTTTAATAGACAGTGTCAGGAAGCAAACATTTGAAGCAGGAGGGAGTGGAGGAAGTACAGAAGGCAAAGGACAGAGTACAACAGGATTAGATGCAACAGAGCTAGAAACGATTACATTAACATGAGAAAAGTATCGGAAATCAATTATGAGAACGATATTGCCATCAAAGCGAAAAAGCAACCTAAATTACTACTCAGCCATATAAGAAGAAAAATGTCGGTGAACGACCAAGTGACAAGACTAAGGAAAACAGGGGAATATACTGAAAGTGATAAGGAAATCTGCGAGGCACTGAATACCAGTTTCCATGGAGTGTTCACAACTGAGCCTGAGCAGCTCCCATTGTTAGTAGAGGAGATGACCCAAGATGAGAGATTAACAGATATAGAGGTGACAGCAGAGGAGGTAATGAAACAGCTAACAACACTGGACGCAACTAAAGCGGTTGGACCAGATAAAGTATCACCGTGGATACTAAAATAGGCAGCGCAGGTCCTCAGCGTGCCTCTGGCAATGATCTTCAATGAGTCACTTATGTCGGGAGAATTGCCCAGTTACTGGAAGAAGGCAAATGTAACGATTTTCAAGAAAGGAGATAGGAAGGAAGCACTTAACTACAAACCTGTATCACTGACAAGCATCCCCTGCAAAATACTTAAAAGAATAATTAGGCTAAGACTTGTTGCACACCTGGAGAGCATTGGGTTTGTAAACAAACATCAACATGGTTTCTGGAAAGAGAAATCATGCCTAACAAACCTTTTGGAATTCTATGATAAAATAACAAGGATAAGGCAGGACAGAGAAGGATGGGCAGACTGCATATTTCTGGACTGCCAAAAAGCCTTTGATACAGTACCGCACATGAGACTGCTATTCAAACTAGAGAGGCAGTCAGGAGTAAGCGGAAAAGAAATAGCATGTGTAAGGAACTACCTAACAGGAAAGAGCCAGAGAGTAACGGTAAGGGGCGAGAAGTCGGACTGGCGAACAGTACGAGTGGAGTATCTCAGGGATTGGTGCTGGGACCAATTCTATTTCTAATATACGTGAATGACATGTTTACAGGAGTAGAATCCTACATGTCGATGTTCGTGGATGATGCAAAATTAATGAGAAGAGATTGACAGATGAGGATTGTAGGATCCTCAAAGATGACTTGAACAAGTTGCAGAGATGGTCAGAGAAATGGCTACTGGAGTTCAACACGAGCAAATGTAAAGTTATGTAAAGTGGATAGAAGACCAAAGGATAGTACATGATGAAAGGGAACTGCCTACCTGTGACGATACGAGAAAGAAACCTGGGAGTGGACGTAGCGCCTAATCTAACTCCTGAGGCACATATAAATAGGATAACGACAACAGCGTACTCTACACTGGCAAAAATTAGAACATCATTCAGAAACCTAAGTGAGGAGGCTTTTAGGGCGCTTTACACTGCCTACGTGAGGCCAGTCTTAGAGTATGCCGCGCCATCATGGAGCCCCCACCTGAAGAAACACACACGGAAACTGGAGAAGGTTCAGAAGTTTGCGACGAGGCTCGTCCCAGAGTTACGAGGGATGGGATATGAAGAACGTCTGAAGGAACTGAACCTAACAATGCTAGAAAAAAGGAGGGAGAATGGGGATGTGACAGCAACAAATAAAACACTTAGGGGGATTGACAACGTCGAAATAGACGAAATATTCACACTAAATGACCCCGAGCGCTGTCCACTCAGCCGCGAGGCCCTAAATGTATGTATGTATATGTATTTACTATTTGTATCTGCAGAATCGAGCTATTAGCTTTGGACCCCGCCTTTTTAATCAATTCATTTTTCTCTATTATTTTTACTACATATATTTCTCTCTAGCACACACACACACACTAGGAGAGCAGCCCGTAGCAGCTGTTTAACTCCCAGATAGCTATTTACTGCTAGGTGAACAGGAAATCAGGGTGGAAGAAGCTCTGACCCCTTGTTTCCGTCTCCGCCGGGGATCGAACGCGGGCCCTTAGGACTACGACCCCAGAGCGATGTCTACTCAGCCGCATGGCCCCCTCTAATGAACTATGGCACACACGCAGACACTGACACAATGTGTGTGTGTGTACTCACCTAGTTGTGCTTGCGGGAGTTGAGCTCTGGCTCTTAGGTCCCGCCTCTCAACCGTCAATCACCTGATGCACAGGTTCCTGAGCCTACTGGGCTCTTATCATATCTACATTTGAAACTGTGTATGGAATCAGCCTCCACCACATCGCTGCC